TAATTCGTTTTTATTTTATAATAAATTATTAAAACATGAAAAGAAGCAAAATAACCTAAAATCATGGAGAAGTTGACAACTAAGCAAATTTACTTCTCAAATAATGTTATAGATATACCAATTTACAAGTAAAAACAAAATGTTTATATAACTAACTATAAACGAAAACAAACATCCGCACGGATCAAAATCTAGTTTATTTCATTAAGGAACAAAACCTAATGTACGTCCACGCTGCTATACAACAACAAGACTGTTAGTTTCCCGGGTAATAATCCTGCGCCGTATTAGACCACAAATAACCGAAACAAGAGAGCTTTGGTTCCTCTGTCTAAAAAAAATATAAAATATTGGAAAAAAGAAATTAAGTGGTCGAAAAATGTCGGGATGGGTGTTTGCTAGGGTTTAGTAGTTAGTGCCCCTGCAGCTGCCACTCTTTTCTCTTTTCGAAGATTAGCCGCAAAAAGGCTCTCACCCCTTTTGGCTCCCGACAAATCACAAAACCGTGTCTTTTGTCTTAAAGCGGATTGTTGATTCCTCTGGATTTCGTGAATGGAAATTCAGACGGATCAGGACGGATCTTGCGCCGTTACGTCCTCTTGCGCCTCCTCTGCCGTACCTAGAAAGATCGAGTTTCACCTCGCGAGGAAACCCTTCAACGGCTTCTCTAACAACAGAGGCTCCGATTTCAAGATGGAGACTTTGAATCCATGCTCCTCCTCATCTCCTAACAACAGAGCCTTCTCATCACCACCTGCCTCCGTTAAGTACGTGGACGGTCCTGATTCGTTGGAACATGGGTTTGATCGTGAGCTTACTTTTACCAAAACCATCCGCAAAATCGTGAGTGCTACTTCTCTGTGGGGAAAAAGGTTTCCTTAAAATGGTTTTGTTGATATGTTGTGGACTGTGTCTCTTGTAGGGTGCTGGTTTGGCGAATCTTGGGAATACATGTTATCTTAACTCTGTGTTGCAATGTTTGACATACACTGAGCCCTTAGCTGCTTACTTGGAAGATGTCGCCCATGAGGAACGCTGTAAGTTGCATTTAAATGACGCCAAGTTTCTTGCTGTGTTTGGTAAGTCTTATTTTTTTTTTCTGTAATTGTTTGTGTAGGCCGTGTGGCGGGGTTTTGTGCTTTATGTGCAATGCAGAAGCATGTCAGGACTGCTCTTCAAGCTACTGGCAGAATATTAGCACCTAAATATTTGGTCTCAAACCTGCGATGTATGCTTCTTAGTCCTTGTCTGATTGTACTATTAGTTTGGCCAATTTTGGCTTTTTTTTTTTTACTAATGAGGATTCTCAAATGCTTGATTAGGTGTATCACAAAACTTCAGGAAATGTAGGCAGGAAGATGCACATGAGTACATGATCAATTTGCTTGAATGCATGCACAGGTGTTGTCTGCCTTCTGGTGTACCAAGTGAATCCTCTGATGCTTACAGAAGCAGCTTGGTCCACAGAATTTTTGGTGGTAGCCTCCGTAGTCGGGTAAAGTTTGACATTTTTTTTAATGAGTAGGTAGAGTTGCTTTATAAATGGCCTCTGACCCTTGGCTACATATTTATTTTGCTTCAGGTGAAATGCGCACAGTGTTCACATTGCTCCGACAAGCTTGATCCATTTCTTGACTTAAGTCTTGACATATGGAGGGCAGATTCATTGCAGAGAGCACTTCTACGTTTCACTGCTGTTGAGCTTTTAGATAATGGTGCAAAGTCTTACCAATGTGAAAGATGCAAGCAGAAAGTCAAGGCTGAGAAACAGCTTACTGTTTTTAAAGCACCTTCTGTTCTAACTGTACATCTCAAAAGGTTTGAAGCGCATAGAACCGAAAAAATTGACAAGAAAGTTGAGTTTCCTTCTGCAATTGACATGAAACCTTTTGTCAGTGGTCCATATGTAAGTTGAATTCCTCTGCTGCTCTATGTTCCAAGCATCTTGTTCATGTATCTTTTTTAATCCTTGAGCTTCATGATTTCCTTTATAACATTACAATACTTGTGTTGAACAGGAAGGTAACTTGAAGTACACTCTATATGGTGTGTTGGTTCATTATGGTGGAAGTATCCATTCTGGTCACTACTACTGCTTTGTTCGCACTTCAAGTGGCATGTGGTATTCCCTTGATGATAACAAGGTAAGCAGCTGCGTTCTACGTTCTTTGGTTGCATAGTTTTGGTTTGATAACAATTAGTAGTTTATTTCTCTACATAGTTCGTTGTTTATGTGGTTTGATAAGTTGGTCTAAGCATTGGTGCTGTAGGTTGTCCAAGTTAGTGAGAAGACTGTGTTCAACCAGAAGGCGTATATGTTATTCTATGTTCGTGATAGACAAAATACAGCCCCAAAGAATCCAGTTACCGTGGCTAAGAAAGAAACTCCCAAAGAGAGCGTAGCCATGAACAGAGCTTCTTTGATTACATCTACTAACAGAAATGATCAAGTGAATAGTTCAACAGTCATGAAAGCATGTAGTTTAAACGCTCCTGTTGCCAATGGTATAGCACCTTTGAGAGCATGTGATAAAGGTGCTCCTGCTTGCTTAACCCAAATTGATGTAAATGCCAAAGAGAATCAGAAAGATGATCCCCCAAGCAGCGTGGAGGCAAAAGAGAACCTTAAGGAGCAAAATGGTACAGCACCCGTGACATCTAATGATCAAGGGGCTCCTGCTGTCTTAACCCAAAAAGATAAAGAGAATCAGAAAGATTCCCCAAGCAGTGCGGATGCAAAAGAGATCCCTAAAATGGAAAATTGTACAGCACCCTCGGAATCATGTGATCAAGATGCTTCTGCTGTCTTGACTCCAAAAGATTTAACTGCCCAAGAGACTCAGACAGATCCACCAAGCTGTGTGGAGGCTAAAGAGAACCTTAAGAGACCCTGTGATGTAGGTGCTTCTGCAGTCTTAACCCAGATAGACTTGAATAATGACAATACCCTTGAGAAGGAAGAGTCACTTCCACATGCTAATGGGGAGATAACAAGACCCGAGTCACATCCACAGGCTAGTGGGGAAGGATCTTTGGTAAAGGAGGATTCAAAGGCTGCATGCACAATATTACCAGGAGAAGGTGCTCCTCTCCTAGATGACAGCACAAACACTCAAATTCTTGTGAATTTGCCTACTTCTGTGGCTAAAGCTCAGAGTCGCATTGACGAAAATAACTCTGCTAGTAATTTGAACGAGGCTGACACTTCACTGAAGGTTAGTGTGCAATTATACTTGCACGAGTTTGCATCTTGTTCGTATGGCCATGTTTAATGGGATTGAGTTTTTCTAACTTGCGTTTCGCTTCTCTCCAGGTTAAAAGTGTATCGGTTGGTGATTCAGCTATGGAAGTAGCTGCTCTTGATAACCAGACTTTGGGACATCAGCCAGAAGAATCGGCTACTTCGACGGAATCAATAAAGCCAACGTCTGTTGTGGAGACTCTCACCACACCAAGAAAGACTCGCAAGGGTAAGATGAAAACCCTGCAGGTAGGATTAACATCTTTCAAGCTGACACTTGGCGTTTGCAAAAAGAAGAAACAAAAAAGGAGAAGATCAAGCACCTTAGCTGTGAAGGGTACTTCTGAGGAGGTTTTATCCAAGAAAAGAGCTTCTGATCAAGATCGTTCCACTCCACTGGTCACTGGCAAAGTTACTACTGGCTCTGTTTGCTTGCATGGGAAGGGTAAAAGTGTAAGTGTCCAGAATGAAAGGATAAGAAGTTCTAATGGGAATATGCTGCTTGGCTCTCCAAACGGAGTTCTGAAGGAGAGAACTAATCAAAATGGTGCCGTTCTTGCGTCAGACCAACAGCAACCGTTGAAGAGTTCTGACTTGTCTGAAGCAAACCAAAACGCCAAAAGAAAGAGAGAACAAGCACTGTTACAGAAAGAACAGGTGACCATTCTCACACGGGGATTGCCAGAGACAGTGGGTAAGTTTTCCTTTTTCTCAACTTATGACTTTTAGAAATTCGGTAACGAACTTTATTCTGAGAACTCTGACATCAATCCAGCAGTTGATCAGTGAGCAAGACCTTAGTCTATGTACTTATGTTTTGATGAGCTTAAGTCTTATAACTGTTGTAGTTGCAAAATGGGATGAGGAAGTTTCAGCTTCTAGGAAGATGGGAAATAGTGAAGGCACGAGAATTGGATATGTAGCAGATGAATGGTGAGCTTTTATCTTTTTTGGAGGTTTGGTTATAAATTAATTATTAGGCAGCTTGTTTACACATGTAAATGGTATTGGGATTGTGGCAGGGATGAAGAATATGACAGAGGGAAGAAAAAGAAGATAAGGATCAAAGAAGAGATGTATGTAGGGCCCAACCCGTTCCAGGCGTTTGCATCGAAGAAACAACAACAAACAGATACAAAGAAGAAATGGACGCAACGCATGAATACTGCAAAGGCAGGCTTCCGGATATGAATAAGAAGAGAGTACCATCCATCATCTAATCTATTATAAAGAGTATGTAATCAACGTATTTGGCTAACAGTAAATGTTAACAAAAGAGGTAAAGAAAGACCTATTGACAGACATTTAGAGAGTGTTTGTGGTCTCTTTTTTTTTTTTTTTCTCTCTCAGTTTTGTTCTATTTCTGCTAAAACAAAGACAGATCCATTCCCTGGGTTTGCAGTAATATTATTATTTTTTCGTTTACTAGTAATTTAATTCTGCATTAACATACGAGATAATTTTTTTTTGCATTACCAAAACCATGTCGTCTTATGACTACTCAGCTGCCCCCTAAACCTCTAGTACTCTCATTTTACCACTTAACTCTTTCTTACTCGCCGGAAACACAAAAAACCAAGATTTGAAAGAATGTCAGAGGTGGAGTGGACGATGAAATCAAGAGGCTATTCAAGTTGCAGATGCTGACGTATCGAGGTTACTGTATTGAAGAATCTGATTTGGCACTAAAAAAATGCTCTTTTCACAGCAGCCAGCCAAATAAGGGGACAATGTACATCTTTGAAGAACATTGTCACTATGAAAGCAGTGTTGAATCTTGTCTCTCCATCGTTCGATTACAAGGGATATGGTGATGAACATGAGGGAGGATAAAGTTCCTCGAGGGTTCATACTTGTTCCAGTGCCCATAACAAGTGGCGCCAAAAAAAGGTCATAGTAGAGGTCTAAACAATTAAGACTTTGAAATAGAGATAAGTAATAAAGCCTTTCAATTGTCGTATCAGCTGCAAGCCAAACGATGTTTCTTTTTCTGTTGGGTTCAGCATACAAAGAAGAAAGTCTACTTTCAACTACCAAACTGGGAAAACATTTGCACGGATTACTAAATTTAAGTTCTCGAAAGCAGACATCATCATTCATCAACCACAAACTCTGCATGACAGCAGCTTTCACCATATCCAGGCCTCTAATGATAATCCATGACTCATAACAAACGGAAATGGCACCTGCAATGAAAGCAGATCAGATGTGAAAGAGTTACAAAGAAACGACTTTCTCTTCATCTGTTGTGAACAGATTCACTACTAAAATGTATTAGCAGTTGTATCCAATATGTACGTACCCCAGAAGACCTCTGCCTTGCCATATCCTCGGGGTGACAGATAAATTGAATTTAGCACCTTGCCTAATAACTCCCACAGAAACTGCTTGTCCCTGGTTAGTTTGAGCTTCGGCGGCAAGCCTTTGCAACAGGTTGTCACCACCTTCGACGCTGCCAAATTTCACAACCTGATCTCCAAGCTGTAACCCATCCTCCGCTGCTGGAGATGACTCGGTTATCTCATCAACCATGGCAAAGGGAATACTAGTAACCACATCCACATCCATGGCGCGGGAAGTAACATTGATGCCAGATGTATGCATGGAGGCAGATAAGGCAGTCACTGCACTTGACAAGCTTCTCTGTTCTGGACCTGCATCATTTTGTATTTCATTCATAAAATCCACACCCAGGTCGTGCATATGGTTTCAAAGTATGGCATTTAATAGTCAAAGTGACCAAATCAAAGATATCAACATGAAGCTTGGAGTTCAATGTCCAGTCATACCTGAATCTTTTGTAGATGAAGCTTTGGATGTAGGCCTCACTGAATGAAGAATCTGAATGTTCACATTGATCTTGTCCGTTATCTCGCTGTGCTCATTCCGTAACTCTGTGAGTGGAAGAAACTATTTTCAGAGAAAGAAACCAACTCAAAGCGAAAGAAGCTACAACATTACTACTTGGTTCACTGTACAACAACTCTATAGCAATACTAATAAAACATGATCTATAAAAATCCAATCTTGATACATCTCTCCGGCGCACAAAACTAAAAAAAAACTAATCCAAGTAAAGAAACCCTAACTTTGAACAAAAAGAGAAAAGAAAGAAACCAACTCAAAGCGAAAGCAGTAAACACTAACACTTAGTTCACTGTAGAAGCTAAACATCCACACTCTTTAACAAATAATAGTAATAAACATGAACTATAAAAATCCAATCTTGATTCATCTCTCTGGCTCACATAACTATAAAAACCCTAATCCAAGTCCTAAATTTACACACAAAAAAAGAGAAGAAAAAGCACCAGCAAGGCGACGGCGCTGAGCTCTCACTGCCGGAATGTCAATATCTTCCCGAGGGAATCCCTGTCAATGCCACAAAACGAATACGAATCAAGAAAGAAGCGAATAATAATAATAATAATCAGATAGATGCTTAGGTTAAGAGTAGAGTCTACCTCCGAGTCGACGAGATTACCGGAGAGACCAGGACCACCGGGATTGCAGAGACGTTCGACAATCGAGTTCATTTCCGTCTCCATCGCAGCTCTCTTATCCATCAGAACCATCGTCTCTGCTTTCAGATTCGCTCCACCCATCTCTTCCCTTCTCTCTCTCGCCTCCGATTTTGATCTTTCGGAACTTTCTTTAGCTTTCTTGAGAGACGGAATATGTATTATATGGGCTTTATTAAGTAATATGTATTAAGAAATAAAGCCCATTAGGTGATTGTAGACCCATTCATCCTCACCGTCCCATTTATTCCATTAATGCTATTCTTCTTTTTCACCAGTTAGTAGTTACCTTGGGAGGTAATGAACTCGATTGAATACTGAGAGTTAAAGAATTTAAAAATCATTTGAGAGATTTTTGTATATATGTTATTCATAGATGAATTATTATATCAATTGTTATAATTTGATTGATCGATTATTTTCAATTTTGATTTATTTAGTTCAATTTAAAAAAAAAAACCATAAACCAACTTATATCAATTACCAAACAATCCAAAATATATTATGGATCAATATATATTTTTAATTTTTTTGTCAAACACATATAATAATTAAAAATTAACTTAAAATAAGTGATTTAAAAGAAGCTTGCAAATATCTTACATATATTGAACATTCATAAGTTTATAGTCATATTTATATCATTTTAAACACAAAATAAAATTTTTAATATGTTTGAAGAATTTTATATAGGAAATATGATTGGATATATGCTTATTTTACATTATTTTTGGTAGATGTTTCTTGGGTTAATGAGAAAGAGGTTGGAGGAGGAATTGCATAGTCCTTATACAGTAAAAAATTAGTCTAGAAACTATATGCCTCTTCTTCAGTCAAGCCCACAAACTCTCCATTGGAAGCTGAGGGCCTGAGGCATGCTCTCTTCTTATGGCGGTTCAAAAAGCATGGAAGCTGAGATATAATCATGTAACTTTTATGACTGCAAGCAACTTAAAGATGAGTCACATCAGCAGATGACTGAACAAACTATCTATAAAACCTGTAACACAGAGGCATCTCTATGATACGAGACATTGTGACAATGGCCAAACAGTTTAGCTTTATTTTTCATTATGTACCTAGAGCTTTAACTAGGAATGTTCATGTAATGGTTAAAGAAACTAGATAAGGACAAAGGAACTTGTAATATCTTGGCAGTTTTAAGAAGAAAATATGTTGCAAAAAAAAAACTTACATCATTTTAAAAAAAAAGTTTATTGGTAACTAATATATTCAAATTTGAATAATTGAAACTTTTTATATCAGCTTACAGGGGAAAACGGCCATTTCATACCCAACATATCACGATATGTTCAATTCATACCCGACTTATATCACCGTGCAGAAACATACCTGAACTTTTGAAAATTTCAAATAACATACCCATTGTTTATCTTCTTGGCGAAATCATACACCGGTCGCCACATCAGCTACCACGTCATCTCAATTTGTTGACGTAGATGCCATGTCAGCTATTTGCTGACGAAAATGTCAGTGTGAACATTTTTTATGAAAAAACCAAAATATTGGTTTATAATCTTTTTTTGAAAATTTAAAATTTATATTTTTAATAAAAGTAAGAAAAAATAATTAAATAATAAAGTTTTAATATTATATATGAGATATATTCGTAAATTTTTTGATCATACCACAATACGTCCTTATAAAACTTATTTATATGACGTAATGATTCAAATCCAATGCTACTGTTGCTACATAAGTATATATTTCTTATGATTTTCTTTTGAATTAAAAATTTTACTTCGGGTTATTCGAACGATCTACTATAACCTAAATCCGAACGATATATGGTTACTTATGGATTTTAGGATGTGATATAAAAATGACCCGAGATGTTATATTAAATCATGATCTATACTTACAAAAATACTAATATGGATTTTAGGACGTGTTACAAAATAAAACTGAAATCTAAAATACTCCGACTTGAACCTAACGGTTACCCGAACGTTACATTTAAAGAATTTGTTATGTTGATTTAATATATAATATTTAGGATTATATCTCTCATATAAGATAAAAATTTATTATTTAATTAATTTTAGTTAATTTTACTAAATATATAAAATTTTAAAATTATATTTTATAAAAGTTTATTTTTTTTATAAAATGACTATTTTGGGTTGTCTAATAAATATTTTTACGGATATATCTCTCATATAAGATTAAAATTTCTTATTTAATTATTTTTTGTTAATTTCACTAAAAAATATAAATTTATAAAATTTTAAATTTGCAAAAAATGTTTATAAACCATTATTTTGTTTTCTTTTTAGAAATTTTTTTTTGTATACGTGGCATTCTCGTGAGCAAAATTATCTGACATGACATCCACGTCAGGAAATTTAGATGACGTGGCAGCTGATGTGGCGACCGATGTATGATTTCGCCAAAAAGATAAACAATGGTTATGTTATTTGAAAATTTTGAAAGTTCAGGTATGTTTTTGGTACGGTGATATAAGTCGGGTATGAACTGAACATATCGCGATATCTTGGATATGAAACGGCTGTTTTCCCTCAGCTTACGTAAAAACAAACTTATCGGAAATTTAAAGTATATTTTTAATGGTTTAAAACTAATACAAATTTCTATATAAAATAAAACTTCTTTTCTTACTATCTATCTGCCTTTACAAAACAAACAAAATAACATAAGCAAACACCACACCATAAGTGAAGACATATTTCTTTCTTGTGTCATTTCACGAGAACGCGCCAAAAAAAAAAAAAAAAATATATATATAGGGGAAAAAGAGAGAGAGGTCTGGATTATTGGATCCAAACAAATCCTTCCTATGAACTAAAACGTGACCATCAAAAACAAAGCTCGTGAAATGAAGAAGCTAAGGTTACAGAGCTGTAAGTTAGTTATGACAAAAACCTAACACCTTCCTTCACTACTGCGTTTTATCCTCCTCCATCAGCTAATGGGTCATTGCTGCATTAAACACACTCTAGAAATCATCAATGTAAATGCAACAAAAAAGGTATTACCTTTAGGATATTCAGAGCAGAGTAAATGGAATGCATGTGACTAGTTAATAAAACTTTCTACAAAACCCAGTGTACAGAAACCAAGACAGAGGTTTCTGCAACAATCCGTATATATATATATATTAGTAATATAGCTTCAAAAGGCGAATCTTATTACGTTGTTTTTTCTCTTCCACCATCTGACTTTTTCTATATTTAAAAGTCGTGAGATTTATATTTCAACCTCCATTCTCACCGGTCTCTTTTTCAATGGACCCAGTTTTTGAACTTTGAATGGTTAATAACTTTAACAGACGACAATGGAACCACAAGAAACAAAAGAGAGACGTTTCTTCACAAGACTTCCCCAACTAGACCCATTTAAAAAATGAAAGAGAAAAAGGAAGTTTTGCTTTTTTTCACTTGACCCAACACCACAAACTTAGTGCAGAAGTCATTTCACACTTACTACCCCTCCTTTCTCTGCACAAGTCTGCTTCCATCTTCATCACTGCTGTCTTAAACACACATCCAAAAAAAAAAGAAAAGCAATATTGCTTTTTATTTTATTTCTTTTTCTCTCACAGCAACAACAACAATACCAACAACAACATGATGTGTCCTTCTTTTCTGCTTCTTTGTCCTTCTCTGACTTCTCCTCTGTTTGATATTAGATATACTACAACACCAAACCCAGAACCTTCCTCTCATCTCTCATCCTCTCTTTCTCTCTTCTCATTTCTTATTTCAAGAGCTTATCCTCATCCTTCATCTCTCTCTCCTTCTTTCTTTTTGTGGTTACACATCTTGTGTTAATCTGATGAAGCGAACTCACGCCGGTTCCAACCCTAATCCTTTTGAGGATCCGAAAGTCAGATTTAGGCATCTCAGCCTTATGCAAGATTATCAAGAACTGCATATGGTACCAACTCTCTTTTTCTTTTAGTTTAAATTAAATTTTAGTTTTTTGGGTCTTGTCTGTTTTATCTCTAGATCTAGAAATGTTTCTCAAGATTTGTTTTTACCACCCTGATCTGGATTAAGTTTTTAGTTTTAAAGAGAAAGATAGAAACTTTGAGGTTAATTGATTCCTTAACAAACATATAAAGCCTCTCACTTTATTGTCATGTGTAGTTATTCAAATCTATATTAGTCTTAATTAAGCTTGATCAAAAGACAAAACATATTAGTGATTTTTTTTTCTCTGGTCTCTTAAGGTCACTTTGGTTATGTGTATTAATAACGTGCTTCACTGTTTTGTTTGGATCACAAAAGGACACTGAATCAATGAGAAAGAAGTTACAGACTCTCCGAGAGAGAAAGGCAACAATAATGGCCGAAGTCCGGTACATATACCTATCTTGTTAAATGTTTGTTTCCTGATGAATGTTTGTTCTGAAGTGTTTGTTTATCAGGTTTCTTCGGCGGAGATACAAACATTTGAGACAAGTCCAGCCTTTTATGCACCCACCAGATGTTAAAAAGAGTGGGAAGAAGAGTAAAACGCAAGTGTGTCCTAATAAGAGTAGTGAAGCAGAAACAAAACATGTTTCACTTCCTGACTTAAACCACTCGGAAAACGAAACCAAAACCGGACTTGAGAAAAGAGTTCCCTTGTTTGATCTAAACCAAATATCTGTAAGCACATCTTTCACTCTTATGTATACAAAGAGAACCAACATGTGCTTACTCATTTTACTATTTCTTATATCGATGACAGGGAGAAGAAGAAGCAGAAACAGAAGCAATGAACAATGTTCACGAGAGAACAAGCGTCGAAGAAAGTAATTCATGTAAGAGACCAAACAGCATCGAGATGCAGCAGAAAGAGATGAAGCTATCATCGTCTTGCAGGAACGGAGGAAACGGATCAAACAAGAGGAAAGTTTCGTGGCAAGATCCTGTGGCAGCAGCAGCTCTCAGAGTCTAATAATAACTCAAAAAAAGTCAACCATCTTGTAACATAGTTTCCACACTTAATAAATCAATGTAGCTTCTGTATTTGCTTTATATCTTCTCCGTTGAAAACATTATCCAAATGTGGCTTTGAAACATAAAAAACCTTATCCCCTTCTCTGTTTCTTGAAGTGGCGACTCATGAAACCGCCATTTGTAAAACATACACGTGTCCTTCATACATGAAACGAAACCGATCCAAAAGTCCAGGAACAAAATCAACGGCCAGAACGACTTCACACGTGTCTTGAAATAAAACCTTTCGTGTAAACTTTAAATTCATACAGAACACAAAGCAAAAAACCGATCTTGTCTGTGTCTGAAAATACAAAAAAAAAAAGAAGAAACCTTTTATTTTATGGACGACGATTGGGGAGGATTGGCTCCAGAGATACTCACCAACATCATCTCAAGGCTCACGATCCAGGAGCGATGGACAGGACCGATGTTCGTACGCAAATCATGGCTTGCCGTTTGCAGAGATCCGTATCTCTGGTCTAGCTTCGATCTGGAGCCATGTTTCGAGTCGTATCCCGAGTCGGCTCAGTGGTGGTCTCCTGATTTCGAGCGGAAGATAGATTCCATGATCCGATCAGTCGTCGATTGGAGCGACGGAGGTTTAACCGAGATCCGTGTACGCCATTGTAGCGATCACGCTCTCTCTTACGCTGCCGATAGGTAAAACACTTAACCGACCGGTTTAATATTCTGTTACTCGGTTTAATAGTTTGTTATGAGGAGTTGTGAAACGTTGAACTAAAATAAAAATCAAGTAGACCGGTCGGTTAAGCTGACTTAAACTGCCTAATTTATTTCATATACTTTGTATGAAAGTGATTTGAGTTTAGTGGTTTTGTCTGTTTGTTAGATGTCCGAATCTCGAGGCTCTCGCGATTAGAAGTAGTCCTCACGTGACGGACGCGTCTATGGCGAAGATAGCGTTTCGTTGCAGGAGTTTAAAGGAGCTAGATATCAGTTACTGTCACGAGATATCTCACGACACGCTTGTGATGATCGGTAGAAACTGTGTTAATCTCACGACGCTGAAACGCAACCTTATGGATTGGTCTGATTCTTCTCGGCGCATGGGCTCTGTTGTTCCTACAGAGTATTTAGACGCTTGTCCTCAAGACGGAGACACGGAAGCTGAGGCTATTGGGAAGCACATGGTTAATCTAGAGCGTTTGGAGATTCAGTTCTCTAGATTGTCTGCGAAAGGACTCGCTTTGGTATGTGAGGGGTGTCCGAAGCTAGAGTACTTGGACTTGTTTGGGTGTGTGCATTTGTCAAGCCGTGACATTGCAAACAATGTGTCGAGGCTGAAACTGCTGAAGGAGTTGAAGAAGCCAGATGTTTATGTGCCGAGGGCAGGGGATGTGGTGCCTCAGATGGAGAGGTACGGACATTGGAGACTTTATGATGAGAGATTCGATATTCAGTCCATGAGGATCTGAGTTTCATACACCTACGTAATGTTCTGTAATAAAAGCAACCTATTTGGTTGTTGTTGTGTTTTATATGTGTAACTAGTGCAAAAAGGAAATGAATCAAGCATTTTCGTTGGTAAAGAGCAAACAGTAAATAACGTTCAGAATCTCAAGCATTCAAAATGTACACTCTTACATGACGTTTATACATGACAAAGGCGCACTACAAGCTAGTAACTACGACATCAATTTTCGTAGGGAACGTTAAATAGAAAGCCACAGACCAAACACACACAAAAAAAGCTAGAGAAGGAGAGACAGTAAGAAAGCGGAGGCGAGGCAAGCAGTCACATGAAAGGAGCCTGGCAAATGTGTTGCAGAAGTCGATCTGGTGGTGGTGGTGTGTGGCCGCCTTCTGTATCCGAATCCTCTCCTTTTTCTTATGAAAACTCCAAGTTTCCTGGTTACACCAGCTTCGTCGACATGACCTGAACACAAAAGAAGGAACTGAGACAACAACAGAAGTGAAATGATAGATAGGACGACTAAGCGCTTGGTGTCATCCATATCTGCTTAAGATAAGATAAGGCTTATAGCTCTCTGCTGTGATTATAAAGAAGATACTTTTTGTTGGATATAATTTAATACCATTTGGTTGGATGATTGAAAAACGAAATGAAAAGACAACTTGATAGTGTCATGTGGAGCCATATCGCGGCCATAATTTAAAGACTTTGACTCGCTAAACTAATAGGCGTCCAATATCACAAAGTGATCATCAACCAAAGGTCAAAGCCGACCACCATATACATAATTACCTGATCCACTACTTTTATCTTTAAGCCAAAGTGAAGCAACTTACTTTCCACACTATTCTTTGATGAGCTAGGGGTAAGAGGGTTCCGATGAAAAAATATAAAGCTTTTATTGGCTAGATGCTACTAACCTGGGAAGGTATCATTCTGGGTATGCTAAGATTTTGTCCAAAATGGCTGGCTCCACCTCCCTGAAAGATGAGATTTGACCAACTCGTTTAGCTAACTCCCCTGTGACTCGGTCCATGAAAAGAAGATACAACCCGTTTCTTTCTTCCAACGCAGCTACTGCTTTCCTCGCATGGACAACTGATGATATCCACTCCTCAAACACAACTACAGGTCAGACACAACCAATCTCAGCATCATTTGTGACCCTTTTTGCCATATATAACACAGTATTTCTCATAAATGGAAACAAATATAATGACATATAACACGGGAAAGAACAAAAACAAAAAAAATAAAAAACATTTATCAGAGCCAGGTTTCGATCCTGGGACCTGTGGGTTATGGGCCCACCACGCTTCCGCTGCGCCACTCTGATTTGTTGAAATAATAGCATGCATAAAACACTTAATTCGAAATTACCCGTTTCAAATGATTCATTCTCTGCCCAGGATAACAAACAGTCACATATCAGGAACTCTATTAGCTGTATCCTGCAGGTCCATAAGACAACATTAATCAAGATTAGCAGTCCTATGTATCATAAAAACACATTTTATATTTTCATTACAGTTAGAAAAACTTACAATATAAACATGCACTCATCCATCTCTGGGAATGAGTCATCAAACGGGTCCATGACCAGTAAGTTCTCGGCTAAAATAGATATTCTCTGAGAAATAGCAAATATTGTACGCTGTCCAATGTATGGATCACTTCCCAGTTTACGGATCAATTGTTGGACATATAACCCAACACTAGTTTCTAGTTGCCTCACCTCTACAACAGATTGTAAACATACAAAAACAAATATGAGAAATGATAACCAGGAAGAGAAGCACAGTAAAAATCATAACTAAACAGCTAAAGTTACCATTTCCTTTAGAGGGAGTGCACATTCTTGCGATCAACTGTGTAATCATCGAACTAATAGATTCTTCAACAGATTCCAAGTTTCTCCCCATCGATATCAGTTTCTTCAGTGAAGCTTGAGCATGCAAAAAAGCATATTATTGTAAGATGAGGAACAAGAACACAAGTTTGTTTCGTAAGTGCAACACAAGCTTCCAATAACAGCAAATGCAGCTCAGCTGCTCAGGCATCAAATTATTTGTTTGCAACTCAGGAGATTAGATAATATTACCTAATATGAAATCTACAGCCTGATGTGACCAGTTGCTGAAATTAGAGGCCTGCAGAACAAAGAAGCGAGTTCAAATCTGTAAAGCATGTAAGAGTGCATATTAGAAAAAAAAAAGCTTAAGCAATAAAAGCCTAACACTGGAGTCTGCTTGGGACAGTTCCAGGAGAAAATCAATAGATATCCTTAGCTGCTCCGCTTCCTCTTCATATTCAGGTTCTGCAGTCAAAAATTTCAACTCATATAAAAAGCAGTCCTAGAAGATGATGCTTGGTTACATACATTCAACGTTTCAATTCCATCTAGGTAATATCAAAATATTGTGTTGTATCCAATGTGGGAAGGAAACTAAAAGTGAGTGAAGCCCAAGAAGAGCCTTAACAAAAACCTGAAAGCCGCAATCTTTGAGATGGTCGAGTTGATTTCCTTCTCCCCCTTATCCTCGCTAGGAAATAAAATGAAAACACAAGCTGATTAGTAAAACCCCACAAACAAAAAGGATACAAAACTGTTCAAACTACAAGACTGATATATAAGCATAAGTAATACACCTATCCTGAGAAATCTACGACGAAGAGCATCGTTAAACCTCGCTTCAGAGGCCTCTCCAATCCGCCTGCCGCTGAGTTCTCCCAAGCTATCAAAGAAATAACACTTGCAAGAAGCATTCCCTGGGAACAAATCACAACCTAAGGTTGCAAAAAAAATTGCATTAACACAAACACTTCCCAATCATTAAATGCATAAAACGAGTAGCCAAAATTTAGATAAATAATAATAATACTTTCAGCATCCTTGAGATCTTCCTGAAGTCTAATTATCTCTTTCTTCCTCTCTTTCGCCTAATTTCAAAAAATCCAAAACCCTAGTTAAGATCCCCCAAGAGTAAAAATGACCTAAATACCAATCAATCAACGAGCAGAAACAACGGATTCGATAAGAGAGACCTTCTGCTTCCAGCGAAGAGCATCAGTATCGGAGGAAGAAGATCGACGGTTCTTCTGTTTCCAGCGAAGAGGATCGGTTTCGGAGGAAGAAGAAAGACGGTTCTGGATCTTCGATCGTAGCAGAGAAACGGCGATCGCCAGTCTCAGCGACTCTTCCTTCTCCATTTGTGTGAGTGAAGCTCGCTCGAACTAATTCCTTTCCAAAAAATCAAATACAATATTCTTTTTAATTTTCGGGATAATCATGATTTTGATTTTCTTTGCGCGGGAGAGCTAATACGTAGGCCCATTAAAAGCACGTAATACGGCCCATAAAGTTTTGCGGTTGAGTATTGCAGCCCAATCCAGGAATCTATATATTATAATGATACACTTTCAAGGCTTCTAAGCTTATCCACCTCAGCAAGTTTATGGGCCCACGTATGTTATTAGAGAAAATAAAAACGTATAAATTTTTGTAAGATTAAATGTTATCAATGAGTGATGAAATGGCCCAGTGGTGTAAGTTGGTGACTAGAAGTTAGTACCGCGAGTGTGCGGGTTCGAAACACGGTGTTTGCATATAATTTTTTTTTTTTTAATTTGGGCTTTTCGGGATACCTAAAAACTTATGGAGATTTAGAATGATTTTTTATGCTGGTTGTTGGGATACAAAATGGCTTAAGCATTTGAAACTTTATGAGACCATCTTAGATACTTTTATAAGAAATGTTATCATGTTCTAACCTGCAATATCATTTCAATTCAGTTATAATAATCAAATAAAATAAAAACATATTTTTCAATAATAAATATTTACCCCAAACCATTCAGATCGGCCATAAATCTCACATACATCACAATTAGAAAAAAAAAAAATATATATATATATACAACATAATTTGAGAAAGAAAATTACACTAATAAACACATGTCCTTTTTTTGTCTTGTCTCCATTAAATTATTTTTTTACATGAAAGCACTAATAACAGTAATGCTCGATAAAATCACTAATAAAAGGAATGCTCGATAAAATCACTACGAAGATAAAATATGAAAATATCAACCCATATGAATTTNATATATATATATACAACATAATTTGAGAAAGAAAATTACACTAATAAACACATGTCCTTTTTTTGTCTTGTCTCCATTAAATTATTTTTTTACATGAAAGCACTAATAACAGTAATGCTCGATAAAATCACTAATAAAAGGAATGCTCGATAAAATCACTACGAAGATAAAATATGAAAATATCAACCCATATGAATTTGATGTTTATTCTTTTATCAGACTAATCAAGTTTTGTGACTTCTAATGTTTCATTCATCACCATTATAGATAATCCAGATAAACAAATGTTAAAAAAAAACAGCAAAGTCTCATACACAAAACTACACAACACATCAACATTGTATCCAACTTCCGCGCTTGCGCGGGGACTATGCATCTAGTCTTATATAATAATACTGAGTTTTCTCTGTCACATCTAGGCTTGGGCAAAAAACTGGAATTGAAAAACCGAATTGGAACCTAACCGAAATATCTAAAACCGAAACCGGACTGAAATTCTGAAATATCGAAATGGTTCCTATATTTCCTCTTACCGGCGATGAAACGCTCAAGTGTTTTTGACATTCAATCCATCGAACCCGCAAAACCCACTATGTCATCTTCATTATGCTTTTATTACTTTGTTGTTCTAAAGCTTCTACCAATATATATGTAGACTTTCAGAGTTCGATCTTTAAACTTTCTTTTTCTTCTGACTCATCTTCTATTTCAGAGTACCAAGCAATCTTTCCCGTAATGGCTACTACCCAGACCCATTTCCGAGTTTAAACATAATGATAGTAATAGATAAACAACAAAGTTATAGACCACATTCATATGTTATAGACAAAGACTTTCAATTAATTTAGTAATCTGTAAATTATTCAACTAATTATTCCAATTAATGACACAAGAGATGTTTATATTCTTTGGTGTTTACTATTTAATGATACACATTTCTACAGCGGGAATGACCACCCAGTCGACGATATGCCAGGGGCTGGATCTGTCAATAGAAGCCACATTGATGGAATCAATAGCAGTGGCATGAATGAAGGTGGGTGTATCAAAACTGCTCATGTCTAAGGTGGAGAAGATAAGCGCCAAGCAGTGTTCGAAATTACGCTAGGCGCTAGTCGCTAGTCGGGCGGTTAGTCTAGGCCTAGCGAGTTACTGAATAATCGGGGAGTAATAGGAAATTACGCGGGCCTAGTTTTCTTAAAGTTATTTATATGTATATTTAGATATAAATATGTGTATACATATATATAACTAATATAAGTAATGTGGCATGTTATTATTTAATTTTGGTAAGATAAGCTGAGTTGTAAATGTGGCATAGTGGACAGTCAAGCGGTTTGTTTCAATTTATATCTAAAGTTGAAATAGTGTTATGTTTATATTTGTTTCTTTTTATTTTCTTTTGTCTTTAATGAACGGATAGAATTGTAAATAAGTCTTCTTCTTCATCAGTTTCATGAAACAAAAGAAGATAGACGATGCATGAACAAGATTCAACTTTATTTTCTTTGGAACTCTCAATCCCCTTTGGATTCTGTCTCCACCTGTCATATTTTTTCTTGATTTCGTGACAAATGCTTGTGGTTAGGATTCCCGACGGAAGGAACTTGGGTTTAATTGAGTAAAACGTTTTGGATCTAGGCGCCCGCGTTTCATAAATACACCGCATACGCAGGAACAATTCGCCTTCCCGCACAGACCACCCGATCAGACCCTTTCCGCTACGGTCATGCTCCGCCTACCGTATACGCATCCGAGTAATCGTCAACTCGCCCGCGTTTTCGAACACGGGCGCCAAGTAACAACTCAGATGAAGGCGGAAACGTATGCAAAGATGCTCGAGTCAACATGAGCAAGTTGGGTCCTCTGGAAATAAACCACGAACTGAGTAATGAAGCACAACAAGGGGAGTTGAAGTTATAAGAGCATGATTATTGCTAGGGATGAGCAAAGGTTTCTTAGCTTATTTTAGTAATTTGTAAATTCTAAGAAACAAATGTAAGAGACAATCATAAAGTAAGGGATTATTGCTAGGATTTTTGAATTGTTTCTTAGTAATATTTTTTTGTTTTTTTTTTAAATTATGACATGAAAATGATAAGTTTATTAAAAATCGATGCCTAATAATTTCTTTGTCGAAGTTATCTAAGGCATGTACGTACTAAGTTTCAAATAGACCACACTTCTCTACACCATATAGGAACTTAAACATTGAAGAAGAGCAAAGAGACAACACAAACCGAGAAGTCATTACAATAAGTCATTACAAGTCATTACAATAACCTAGAAATGTTGAAGAAGAGCAAAGAGACAACACAAACCGACAACCACAACCACAAAACAACAACCATCACCACATAGTAATACACACATACAAACAACCATCAAACTATCCACTCTTTCTGCTCAACCAGTCCTTCAGTAATTGACGGATCTCTTCGCTTTCAGGACATACACACAACAGTGGAGCTGTTTTGCCATAACCAACGACATTGAAGACTATTAAGGAAGCTATGTCGGATCTGTTATCACTACAGAACTTCCTCCACCCTCCTCTGATGTAATACATGCTCTTTGATTCGCAAAAGAGCAAATTCACAATCCATGAGTTTCCGTCCTTGTTCACTAGTATCACCTCCTGGCATTTTTTGTTCAACACACTACATTGCTGCGTAGCTGCCGCAGGAAACAGCTGCAAACACATAACAAATGAAAATTAGTCTTGGTTAAGTTTTGAAATAAACACAGAAAACGACTAACTACTTACAACTATGTCTTCTTCTAGGTTCTTATCCGTGACCTCAACCAAGAAACAATACTCAAATGAGATAAAATCAGCCCTTGCTCCTGATCCTCCTGATCCATAAGACAATAACTTAGGAATCAAAAGACGACAGTGAGTTTTAATTAGACTTAATAATCTCACCTGCAGCATCATGTGAGGAGGCTTCTTCCTTGGTCACGTGAGGAGGTGTATACCTAATCTCACAGCAGCTAGGACCAATAGGAGTTACATGAAACACCATGTGTGCTTCCTTCTTTAAGATGACGATGTCACCGACGCGGAGGTCATGTGCTCTGGCGAATGTTTCCCAACCTCTAGTGAGTCTTGTCCCTTCTTGTATCACTGTCCAAGTCTTATCGGAAGCGTCCGATCTTAATTGCCATGATGTCTTGTTTGTCTTCCCTTCCATGTGATTTGCGAAGAAGGTAAGTGGTATGTCCTGAAATTCGGAGAAGAAAAAGTTAAGCACAACTAAACATTATTAGGGAAACCAGGAAGCAGGGAGAGTGTGTCTCTACCACGCCATTATGGAAACCAGGAAAGGGGCTTTACAAAATGAGGTTCATGCGGAGCTAACCGAAGAGCCATCTACAAACAATAAACAATATTCAAAGTCAAAATCATATAGCTAAGTTATTAACTACAGCTTCAGACAAATTCAAAGTCGGAGTTCAAATTCTAACAAAATTCAAGTCTTTGAGTACAGCTAACCTATTAACTATTGCTATGACTAACCACAAATCTGTAGAGCCTATAAAATTCAAGCAACATTATTCAAGCTACATATTAAATGAACTAACCATAGAATTCAAGCTTCAGGCAAACGTAAATACTCTGATGTTAATATCAAATTCTCAGATGATTTCTTAAAAACCAAGACTGTTCTTAACGCGGTTTGAGTTTAACAAAGATCTTATTACAAAAGATAACGATTTATATTGATCACTTATCACAAAAGATTATGAGTTCCACTTTAAGATCAGTTAACCAAAAACTTATCCCAACAGATTTCGATTTATATTGATCACTTAACATAAGAAACACAAATCACATTACAAGTTCCAGTCTAAGTTCAGATAACGAAAAACTTATGACAAAAGATTACGATTTATAGTGATCAAATTGCACACAAATTAACACAATTTTGAAATCTGTAACAGTTGAAATCATAAACACACACAGGAAAGAGGATTTAGGGATTTTGAAATATCATACAATCGAAATCATAAACACACACACGAAAGAGGATTTAGGGATTTTGAAATCCCTAACTTTCGAAATCATAAACACACACAGGAAAGAGGATTTAGGGATTTTGAAATCCCTAACTTTCGAAATCATAAACACCCACA